TTTAATCACTCTGAATTGTCAATGCATAATAGTAAGAGTTTTTGAGATTAATTGAATATCTTTTGAAAGTTGAGGGATTGAATTGCAAGAAGAAATGTGCTTGTTTGGGACCTAAATGAATGAATCTTAAGCTTTTGGATCTAAGTGATCATTGTACGAAATATAAAGGACCATATTTTGCAATTTTACTATTAAAGAAATTACAGAAAGGGCCTAGAAATCCGACACGGATCAAGTGTCGACACGTAATTTACAATGTAAACTACAGTGTCGACACCATGCGTTCAATGCCCAAAAAATCCTACTCCAAGTAAGAGTTGAATTTGTAACAATAGAGTCGACTCTTTGGTATTAAAGAGTCGAATCTAAAATAATAAAATTAACTCTCAAGCCTTCAAGAATCGATTATAAATAGTTAAAATTTAACTCTCAAATTTCAGAGAGCTATAAATGTCTTGCAGGAGGTTAGAGTCGACTTTTATAACTAAAGAATTGACTTTTTGTGGAGAAGAGTCGACTCTTATTTTAAAAAGTCTACTATTCACCAAAATTACAATAACAATATGTGAAATTTTTATGTAACTTCATATATATATCCATATATTTTTTTAAATAAAATAGAGTTTAAAATTATCTAAATATGTTAATAACTAATGTAATTATATTAATTAATTTACCATGTGTTAAATAAAATTTAATATATGAAAATCTATATACATTGATATTTTTAAATATTATAGAACTGACTATTTAAAAAACTGTTTTTGTTTGACCCCGACAATGTCATATCTGCCCTTAACGCTTAACCCCTTCCTTTGTTGCCATAGGCAAAAACGTGTGGGCCAAAGGAGTGTGTGGATAGATTTCCCTTCCTATTTATGTTTATTTATTTATTTTGGTTTTTCTATCATCGTATTTTGTAATTATTTCCAGTACTAATTCTTTAGACATTATTTCCATTAGTTTAGTGAAGATTTAGAAAAAATGATTCCATTAAACCTTAGCCATTAACACCATTTAGTCATTCACAGCACTAGAGAAATTCCTTGCTCTGCCATTAGAGTCAATTAACACTTATTGTTTAAAATCATCCTAATTCCCAGTTTGCTGGCAACAATCTCCATGACTCTTAATAATCTTAAGAATATAAAATACAATATTGTTTAAAACATAT